CTTATTTGAGAATTCACACCATAACTCAAGTATTGGTGTCACCAGACACGAGTTCATTTCTAAATTTTCCTTTATATTTTAAGCTTTTTAGGTAGTTTGTGCACCGAGCGGGTGTGCCAATAGGAGAGCCTAGAGAGTAGTTTGGAGCTAGTTGTGTGACCCTGACGTCTTCCAGGAGACTCTATTTATTAAAGAAATATTTTAAGGGGGGGAAAAAAAAAGCTAAAGCTTTTGCCGATTCCCTAAATGGTTTGTTGGCTGTGAAAATGTAAGCATCCCTAAAAAATTTTAATGGCCTTAGCCGTTCTCCAGAAATTCCTCCATTTTGAGTTTTAGATTTATGAGTGAAAACAGAAGGCAGCATTTCTCAATTCTGAATCACAGCGGAACAGGCCATGTTTGGGAGCAGTTGGGGCTTGGGCTCCGGAGTTGGTTGGCTAGATGACCCTGGACAAGCTGGTTAACCTCAGGCAAGTTATTATTCCATTATAAGATGCAAAAGATTATAGGTTGTCGTGAGGTGGAAATAAAGCAACACAGGTAAAGTATTTAGGACCAGTACCTAGCACAAAGGGATCCTTCAAGAAATGTTGCCCTTCCCACACTCCCCGCAAAAAGTAAAGAAAAAAAAAAAAAACCCTTATATATGCCAAAGCTAACATAATAAAATGGAGAACTGAAGGAAATTTTCTGAAATAATGCATCATCATATATTTAGTACTAATCAAAAAGGTTCTGTTTTTATTCTTTGATCCTTCCCGGTAAATGTTGATTGAATGCCTATCATGTGTACGGTGCTAGGAACAATTTCCTTCTACTCCAAAGCTGGGGGCACCTAGTTATGCAAGCAGTCATGTCTAATTTTAGAGGTTTTCTCAGCAGGAAGAAATGGCCAGGGAACATGCTGCTAAAACCAACAGGAGATACAGGTGAACCGCCTGGTCTCATTCTAGAGATTTCCAAAAGATAGTTCTAAAACTATGTTCTTCTTTATGAAGGGGCTTCTAAAATTCTTCGGGCTTAACTCCACCATTCCCTACTTGCAATATCATGTTTAGGATTATTCTAAATGTTTCTGAGACTTTCCACAACTATGTCTATTTCAAGTCTGTTCTCGGAAAATGGAACTCCACAGAAGGCAGTTCACGTGATTTTTAGTCCGAATCTATAAATAATTGGTGTATCCATTTTAGCCCCCAAAACTCCCATCTGGTTCTCTGTTCACACGAGACATTAGGCCGAAAGCTTGGAAGGGGAACGTTATCCCGCGATGCATGAACATCGTAGGATAATTGTGATCATAGTAGATGCTCCTCACTTCCGGTTTTTTGAGGACTATAGCTTGGGCTTCCCCAAGGTAATTTGCACCAGATCAGCAGGCTGGATGGGGGGAGAAAAACACTCGTAGGAAGGCATTATTTCATCTTCCCTGTTCACTTATTCTGCGTGTCTGCAGGCATTAAGACTCTTCACGGTTCAGGATCAAGAAGGCCTGACCTCGCCCCTGCTCCAACTGCAGACTTTTTATAATTCATGTCTGTGAAAGGCAGAAGAACACAGCTTGTTTGGGGGATCCCAGATGGAGTTTGCAGGATGGATATTAGGAAAATCATCTCTTTGACTGGTAAACTGAGAAATTTAAATTGGAACAGCCTTGAAAAACCATACGTGTTGGGAGATGGGGTGGGGGTGAGGCAGGCCAGGATGTCGCCTTTGCATCTGCAAGAGTCCTATTTTGTAGAGTCGGTCTGCACGTTAAGAATTCCTAATGGGTACAGTCCGTTCAGAAACTCAGCTGAATGTGCTGGAGTCTCTGATCATGTCATTTTGATTGGGGGAGGGAGGGAAACAATGACACACAAACACACTCTTAACAAAAGATGGGGAAAATGTGGGCACCAGGCGTGTCCCTGCTGATCTGAGAATGACAGTTGAAGAGGGAACATTTCAAGTGCAGGGACTGAAGCAAGAGCAGCCCCCAGACAGGAGAGGGGAGAAGGGTCAGCAAAGGTAAGTTGATAAGCAAAACAGGCTGGGGGGCGGGGGCCAAGGAAAGGCGAGGTGATGTCAAAATAAGGGGAAGCAGAAACCAAGTAAATGGAACCCACTGTGACTTATTAGGAATGTTTAATTTGAAATTGTGATCCCTACAATTACTGAAAATGGTGCAGTTAAAAGGAAAGCAGTTCCATTGTGATGGCAGGAAGAACCCTAGAAATGTTTGACATTCAAATGCCTTTAAAACAAAACAAAACAAAACAAAAACATCCTTTGTTCCAAAGTTCTTGTTTTGCATCTGGTGAAATGCATATTAATTTTTCTTCTTTCATCATGAATTGCTGTGTGTTCTGTATCTTCTTTATGGAGACGAGAGGGGGGTATCCATAGATGGAAAACGAAAGGATACCCTCCCCTCCTTGCACCATCCACTCCAACTTTTCATCTTGGCCCTATAGCATGGATGAGAAAACAATGGGGCAGTCTGGAAAGGAGATGGAGGTCGAACAAAAGAATTCTTGAATGTGGGGGTTAGGAGTAGATCAGTCGGCTAGCGTTACATAGGGCAGGGCATTTACTTTAGTAAAAGCCTCGCTACCACCCCAGGTTCCCCAGGATCCCCATCTCTTGACCTCATTGATCCATAACCCTCCCTACCAAACAAACCTGGAACTGAAACCCTGTTTTTCCTTTGCCTTCCTGAGAGTGACTGGCAGTGTAGCCACAGAACTGGCAGGTTCTGATTAGGAATTAAATTCAGGCCCATTCACGATGTACGTTAACTTTGTGGGTGGAAAGAAACCTGGAGAAGAGAGAGGAAACAAGCCTTCGAGCCTCCAAAAATTGGCAGGCAGACTTCCGGAACGAGGCTTCTCCAAGGAATCTTCTGGAATTAAACCTGGGACTGAAATACATTTGCAAATGATCAGGCTTCAAAGTGGGGTTGAGTTTCCTTGTGTCATGCTGATATGGGCCCGGAGAGTTTTGTGGGTTTTTTTGGAGATGAGAAGGGAGAAATGCACCCTGAGAACGCAGAGCTGAAAATTCTGGGCCGCAAATCACTTGCTCAGACCGGCCCTCCCTCTGATATGCTTCCCAAATACGTCATGGCATTCATGAAGAACGCTTGCTGCTTAAATGTCGGATTATGCAGTAATAGTCCCCAAATGAGAACCCAAATGCCTTAAAAAAAAAAAAAAAAATTCATCGGTTGTCTTTAAGGTTTGTGTGGCTGCTCAAATATCCTCTGTCGTGTTTGGCCTTTAGCAGACCACATGGAAGCAGGTTTCTTATTTACAGACCATCCTTTCTGACACATTTATCTGGTGTGATTAATTAAAGATGATTTTTAAATCCATATTTTTCTTTAAAATGCTGAAGGGACAGCCCTGCATTTCTCTGTCCGCAAGTGGTGGTCCCAAACTACCATAAGATGGCACTCTAACATAAATTATGGCAGGAGTCAGCTGTACGGTATAATTAAAAGAGGATGGCCAGATTTGCAGGTGAGCATACAGGAATGATTCCCACGGAGATACATTAACTAGGAAATGTGCTAAGAGCCTGTTATATCCGTATTGGACTTTCATCAGTGAGACGCTCTCCAGGAATTCAATGCAGACAGGCCCTTTTACATTTTTGGAGAAAAATAAATTTAAATATAGCCTGAAAGAAAAGATTTAAAAAATAATAATAAGAGAGAAAAATCAGACCAAACCGCAAGTGCAAAAATGGAAAGGTGTTTTCCATTCTTGGTTCCGTCTCAGGAATATAATCACTAAGGTCAAAATGAAAACCTTGTTTAACCATTTTCCCATTCTTCGCTTCCCTGTCATTAGGGGAGAGGAGGGGCTGTAGACGATCTCGGTCAAGTGGCCAACCCCACGGGGCCTGGCTGTGGAACATGAACATCAGTGCCAGCATATTTATCCCCTTGTGTTGCACAAAGCAAGCATCGCCTTTTACAGAAGGGCATTGGGGAATAAAAAGTATTCTGGGATACTGATGCAGCAGGCATCCTTTTTTTTTTGTTTTGTTTTGTTTTGTTTTGCCATGCTCTGTTGGAAAAAGGGCTCAGTTATTCTGCCTGTGCCAAAGTGGCCTCGGTTTAGTGGCAATCCCTTAGAGATTAAAAGGAAAGAGGGGAGGAAAACCTCATCCAAATTCTTTTGTAGGGGCTTCATAGCTTCAGGTGCAGTGGAAAAAGCATCGCCAGCATGTTCTCTGGCTTCATAGAAAAGAAAAAAAAATCACCGTTTCTTGGCGATCTTAGGCTATTGTGATACCAAGTGGGTAAGCTCTTAGGGTTGGCATCAAACCAGGTACACACGTCTCTGTGCTTAGCAAGCAGGTATCTGGGTCCTGTTCAGTACGGTGCACCCCAGGGAGAGGTGCTGCGTGCTGCTGGAACATCCATGCGCTGGTTTTCTGAAACACGTCGCATCCCTGTGAACAGCATGGCGACACTTGGCCAAGAGGAGGTCGTTGGGGAACCTGGCAACCTGGCTTTCTGTGGAAACATCAGCCTCCTTTTCTTAATGATTTTCCTGCCCACCACTCCAGTCGAGAGAATAGCTGGAACATCAGGCACCTGACACTGCTGGTCGTAGTCCAATCAGAAATGCCTGGGGAGGGGGGGGCAGGTTGTAGTCTAGAAAGCACCCCCGCATGGTCACGTGGGCTCAGAAGCTAGCAGAGCCCAACTTCTAGCTGATACAAAAACCGGTGGGCATTTCTCTCAGGGGGGTGAAGCCTCCATTTTTAGGAAGACTGGCTTGGCTGGTCTCTCTGGCACGTGGCTTGCTTGCCAGAGACACTGTGGAACAGAAATGGAGAAAGGACCAGTCTTACTCTAGTAACCGGTGCCACTTCTCACCGCCCTTCGTAAAATTGTCGTGGGATTGAGATGTCTGTTTTAGAGTGTGAAGAGCATTAAGTGGAGGCTTGCCTGGGGATGGAGGGAAGAGAAATGACTCGCCTCTTAATAAACTGTGTCCTCTGCTTTCTGCGGTCAAAGATTTGTTGTGAAATGCCCAACATGCTTTGTTCCTCCGATTACCTGTTTACTTGCAAATACTGGATTCCCCCTCCCACCTCTTGCTAAGCATCTGGCTGAATGTTATTTTGAATGTGCTGTTTTAGACGTCCTCTCTTTTTTTTTTTCTAACAGCGTACTTTCTTTTTCTCAAATGGAAAAAATTATGTCTGAGTTCACAGGTGCAGGAAAGTTGGTGTATAAGGCTCCCGATCCCTTACCCAAAACCCTTGGTGCCAGAAGATAGAATTTGGGGGAATTTAGCAAAGTATTATCATGCATAGACCATACATTTCATACCCTGTAATGATACGTTAATATTTCTGCAGGGAAATGTGTGAATGTTGATATTAATGACATAAGTAAACTCTATAAAGATCCCATAGCAGGTCAGGTCTTGCCAACGTTGAGTTAATTAAGTAAACAAAACTTTGAGTTTCAAAATTGTGAATAAGGGAATGTGGTTCAGTATTTCTATTGTGTATGTGTATTTCTATTTTAGTAGAAATGTAATGTATAAGTTACATTCAGAATTCATGGATTATGGAAGAAAAGGATAGCCTTTGAGATCTGGCTCTGGAATTGCCTCTAATCATAACTCCTTACATATTCATAGCCTTCTAGTTTTGCCTCCTTACTGACTCATCAGAACCTGTGGCCCAGGGGTTGCAAACTCAGGTGTTTCAGGAGAGCAGAGAGATAATATAAACTGGGTGGGTTGGGGTAGGCAACAGGGAATGGCGAGGACCAGGGCACAGGAGAGCATCCCACAGAGGCACCTACCACTAAGCAGTTCCTGATAAGTGCTGCCAAGTGGGAGAGTGCCTAGTGCCTTGGCACCTAATTCACTTTTTAAAAAACTCCATGTAAAACATATCACTCATGTTGTTTTTACTATCCTCAAAACCACATATACATCAAAAGAAGACAAAACAAAACAAAAACCATTTGTATCTATCTTCTCCTTGCCCAGTCCCCAAGTGGTTTCTCCCTGGTTTCTAGTGGTTGCTATCATTTCCATTCTGGCTTTGATGGACTCCCTATCCAACCTTGGCCTCCTTACTTGACCTTGACCACCCCATGGCCAGGTATTTAAACTGTGCATTGGATACAATAAAAGCACCCCACTTTGTGTAGACCTTGCATTATTCCTCTTATTCTGTTAATTAGCTGTTGATGGCCTTAGTCCCAGGAGACCCTCTTGTTCCCCTACTTTCTTCTTCTTTCCTTCACCTGCCCATGTCTCCAAAGAGCCAAATGGATTATGCCTCTGGATACTGTCCCCTCTCCTCATTTACTTTTTTTTTTTTAAGTGAAGCATAATCGGCATATAACATTATAGTACTTTCAGGGGTGCAACATCATGTACTTGCATACATACTGCAAAATGATCACAACAGTAAGTCCATTTAACATCGTCACCATACATGGTTAGTTTTTTTTTTCTTGTAATGAGAACTTCTAAGATGTACTCTCGGCAACTTTCAAATGCACAATATAGTATTGTTAACTCTAATCACCATGCTGTGTTTTATATCCCCATGACTTATTTATCTTATAACTGGAAATTTGTGCCTTTTGACCCCCTTTACCCATTTCACTCACCCCCTACTCCCTGCCTTTGGCGGCCACCAGTCTGTTCTCTGTATCTGTGAGCTCAGTTTTGTTTTAAGATTCCATATAGAAGTGAAATCACGCAGTATTTCTCTTTCTCTGTCTGACTTATTTCACTTAGCATAATGTCCTTCACCGCCCTCCCCCCCCCCCATGTTGTTGCAAATGGCAAGATTTTCTTTTTTTTTTTTATGGCTAAATTATATGCCATTGTGTATATGTATATTTTCCCTATCTTGGTTATTGTAAATAATGCTGTAATGTTGGGGCGCCTGGGTGGCTCAGTCGGTTGAGTGTCCAATTCTTGATTTTGGCTCAGGTCATGAGATTGAGCCCCGTATCTGGTTCCTTGCTGGGCTAGGAGTCTGCTTAAGATTCTCTGCCTGTCCCTCTCCCTTTGCCCCTCCCCCACTTAAAAAATGCTACAATGAACATGGAATGTATATATCTTTTCAATTTGGTGTTTTTGTTTTCTTCAGATAAATAACCAGTAATGGAACTGCTGGATCCTATGATAGTCCTATTTTTAATTTTTTAAGGAACCTTCATACTATATTCCATAATGGCTGTACCAATTTACATTCCCACCAACAGTGTGCAAGGGTTTCATTTTCTCCACCTCCTTGCCAACTCAATATTTCTTGTCTTTTTGATGATAGCCACTCTAACAGGTGTGAAGTGATATCTGATTGTGGGGTTTGTTTTTTTTTTTTTTGCATTTCTCTGATGATTAGTGAAGTTGAGCACCTTTTCTTATATTCGTTGGTCATTTTTGTGTCTTCTTTGGGAAAATGTCTATTCAGATCCTCTGCCCGTTTTTTATTGCTATTGAGTTGTAGGAGTTCTTAATATATTTTGGATATTAGTTCCTTATCAGATATATGATTTGCAGATACTTTTTACCATTCAGTAGGTTGCCTTTCATTTTGTTGGTGGTTTCCTTTGCTGTGCAGAATCCTCATTCACTTTTAATCTGATCGAACAGATATAACCCAAGCCTCTAGTTAACAAACCCACTGTGTTCTTCTTGAACTAACTCACATCATTTGCACACATCTGAAATTCTCTCCTCCCTGGTGTCAATGTCACGACGCCTGTCAGATTTCCTTCCTTTTCCCCTGTATTTTCACTCCACTCCACTAGTTTCTTCCAACCAGGTTCTAGCCTCCGCTTCCTTCTTCCCCATATTCCATAGGGAGTATAGGGAAGAGCTTTTGGTTCTCTAAATATTACCTCCATCTTGGCCATTCCACTATCTGGACTTTTAGGTGTGTCTTTCCTCCTTAGTGACAAGAACTGACCTTCCAGGTGGATATTCCACAAGCTACTCAAACTCAATCTGCCCAAAAGAGAACCTCACACATTCCCCTCTAATCAGCACCAGCTCTTCTTACTCAGCTCTGTTTTCCTATCCATGAATTAAACCCAGTCATTTCTGAGCTGCACACTTTCCATCCCAGCGGTCAATGAAGCCAGCAGGGTCCGTCTCCTTCATGATTCTTGTTTCATGCCCACTCACAGTGCTCCACCCCCCTTATTACTGCTGCACGCATTCTCAGGCTCTCATCCGTCTAGTCTACCCTGTGAGGTTAGAGTTCCTAAAACCCAACGACAGCCATGCCATTCACCTGGTTGTCTGCTGGCTCCTCACTGCCTTCCACATTAAGCTGTTTCTCTTTACCAAGCTGTTAAGACTTCAATAACCATAACCTACCTTATTTTCTTATTTTTTTAAGATTTTATTTATTTATTTGACAGAGAGAGACACAGCGAGAGAAGGAACACAAGCAGGGGGAGTGGGAGAGGGAGAAGCAGGCTTCCCACGGAGCAGGGAGCCCGATGCAGGGCTCGATCCTAGGACCCTGGGATCATGACCTGAGCCAAAGGCAGACGCTTAATGACTGAGCCACCCAGGCACCCCTACCTTATTTTCGATCTTATTGACCATGATTCCCATTTGTGTACACTATAAATTTGATAAACTGGACTACTTGTTGAAACCATCTCATTTTTCTGGAAGGAAATAGGCTCATCCTTATCTATAGTGAAGGCTTGCTTGAATGCCTAGAGGCTAAGGTGCAGTTGATACAGTTTGACCAATTCATAGATCGTGTCACATAATGTAGATATTTTACTGTCTCCATTTAGACTTTCTAGAACATGTGGTGTTTTAAATGCACTCCCAATGATAAAATGGAAGAAGAGGAGTTCATGGCCTCTTAATAATTAAAACCTTCCTTATTGCATTAATTATTCCCTAAGCAAGTATTAAAAAACTGTGAAACTTAACTAAATAAAAATAATCTGTATGGCTGAGAGTTAACAGATTAGTAATGGATTATGACACATACTGAACCATGGTAGCACAAAAAGTCAAGGTCAAATTTTCTGCTAATAGTGGTCATCAGCAGCATATCTAATAGGGCCCTGATAACTTGAACATAGTTAAAAATGGGGCACATTACTGAAAAAAAGGTTTTATATCAAATATATGGTTCATTCAAAATCTCCAAGGCAAGTAAACTTATTCTGTCTGTTGGAAAAGATTTCTGACTCTCAGTTTTGTGGTGGAATTTGTTAGAAAATTCTCTTGGTGCATCACCAGAAACGTACTTGTTTTTTTCGTTGGCTATCATTAGAAATGCAAGTCCTTTGTATTTTGTCAACACTCAAATTTGGGAATTTAAGCATTTAACCACTCATTATTTCTTTTCATGATACAGTAGTGATGAAAATGCTTTTTTCCTGTCATCACTAAAGACAGGTGGAAACCCTTGTACCCCAAGAAAATTCATATCTGGAAGAAGGTGGTGACCCAACACAGCACCAGGTTAAGAAAGCATTTCTAATCCATCCTGAATGAATTTTTCCACCCTGAAGAAGAAATATGGAGAAATACTTATCTCTTCCTCCTCTGAATTCATAAGGAAGTTCCAAGCCCAATGATGAAATTTGGGGAAGGAGGTAAATTCATCTTTCCCCACAAAATTGGGTTTGGATAACCAGCCCTTTAAAGTGAACAGGCTCTCTTTTTTCAAAGTAAGCAAATAGATTCTAGCTCTCAAAGTTTAAATTCCAACTCAAGTAATTGGAAGTTCTCACATATCTTCCAGAAATTGTTTGGGTTCTTGAAATATTATTAATGCCAAATGCAGATACTTCAGTTGTGATTTGAGAAGGTATGGTGCCTGAGAGAAAACACTAGTGATTTTAGCATAAACAGGTCTCATTTCCCAATAAAACGTTGACAGGAGGGTAGAAGAGCACTTGGCCATCTTGTCCCTCTCTACGTCGAGTTTCAGAGCCTCGACTTACACTGAAGAGGCCATTCCAGTGCAACTTCAAGGCTGTAGTCATGGTACCAGTGGATTAATAACCTATGGTTCACTATACAGTGTTAGGAAGCAAATGTGAAGATAATGTGATACGTGGCTGAGGCTTTTGAAGTCTTCTCGAATTGAATTTATATCCCCAAATTTCTGCACTTGTGGCTTTCTTGCTGGAGAAGATGATTGCAATGTTATTACCCAAAGATAAATTCCAATATCTCCCACACCCCAATTATGTACTGCACACGTTGATATGACAAAGGTCTGCGGCACACTTAGGATCAGCAGAGACCAGATACCTGCATGTAACTGAGATTATCAAGATCTGGCACCTGCAGGTTCTTCTGTGTAGATAACATTTGTCAGCTGAAGATAAATCACTGTCTGAATCTCATCTTGGTAGTCATGATCTTACCTTTTTGTGCAACCACATTTGTCTTCAAACATCACTGAGATAATTTGAATAGAGGTGGGTGATTTTGAAACATACTTCGAATGCCTGGTTTTAGACCAAACTTCGGCTCCTGCTTTTCAAGCTCATTGATCCTCGCTGTGACACACCACATCTGGTTTTGTCACTCCCGTTCTGTTGATGTAACATAGCATGGTGTCAAGTGGTACTGGATTTGGCACCGTCGTCAGCCAAAGCAATCACAAATCAGACATTATTTCTGAAAACTGCACTAGAAGTGCCAGTGTATTTTAAAATTTGTTCAGACTTCTTTTTTTTTTCTTCTTCAAGAAATAGAGCTATTTATTTTAAAGGGTTGTACGTCTAAAAATTCTTGTTCAAAGAATCGCTGTTTCCTACAAACTAGAGGGCAAAGAGTTTACTCACTTGAACAAATATTTATTGAAGGGTTACTATATGCCAGGCACTGTGTCTGGCACCATATTCATTTTCTGGGCTGCACAGCAGTGAAAGAAACTAAGTCAAACATTCATTTCGATAAATGGGAATTGTGTGCCAAGTGTTCCATATGCTGATGACTCCCAAATTTATGTCTCTAGTTCTCTTCTCTCCCTTTCACCCCAGAATCTGTGTGTCTAAGTGCTTTCCAGTATCTTCACTTGGATGTCCAGTAGGCATCTTAAACATACATATCCACTAGAAAGGAGGTAGAACAGGGATGACCAAGGCCTGGGGGAAGGGGAATGGGGGGTAGTGTTGAATGGGTGCAAAGCTTCCATTTGGGATGATGGAAGAGTTCCAGCAATGGATGAAGGTGATGGTCACAACAGTGCGCATGTACTTCATGCCACTGAATTGTATGATTTAAAATGATTACATGATAAATTGTATATATATTTTGCAACAGTAAAAGAACAAGCACATGTCCAAAACCAAGCTCTTGATTTCCATTCCCCAGACCAGTTACTCCTGCATCCTTCTTACCCCCCAGGAAATGACACTTCCACTCACCCCTAGGCTCATGTTCAAAACTTGGTGTCGTCATCCTTGACTCTTCTTTTTCTTACATCCAACATGCAACCCCTTCCTAAACCTTGGTGGATCTACCCTGACAGTACATTCAGAATCCAACCACTTCTCATGACCTTCACCTTGACCTCTTGGTCCAAGTCCTCTCTTGCCTGGTCCACAGTAGCCTCCTAACTGGTTTCCCCATTTCCGTTCTTGCTCTTCTTTAGCTCATTCTCCCTGCAATCCTAGAGTGATCCTTTCAGCATATGTATTTGATCCCGCCAGTCTTCTGTCCCCCCCACACACCAGTGCTCTCCCATCACAGCAAAATCCAACCCACAATCCGCCTGGGCCTGGAAGGCCCCAAGGGATCTGGCCTCTGGCTACCTTGCTGAAGTCATGGCCTGTCACTGTCCCCCTCGCTTACTTTGTTCTAGCCACGGCGGCCTCCTTGGTGTTCCTGGAACATGCCGAGTGCATGCCTGTGGCAGGGCCTCTGTAGCTGTTCTCTCTGCCTGTGACACTCTAGCATCAGCATTGCTTCCGGTGTCACCTCCTCAGGGAGCTTCCTGGCCATCTGCCTAAAATAGCATCACCTCAGGGGCGCCTGGGTGACTCAGTCAGTTAATTGTCTGACTCTTGGTTTCAACTCAGGTCATGGTCTCAGGGTCCTGAGATCAAGTCCCGCACTGGGCTCTGTGCTCAGCGTGGAGTCCGCTTGTCTCTCTCCCTCTGCTCCTCCCCCTGCTCTCTCTCTGGAATAAATAAAATCTTTAAAATAGCATCACTTCCTGTGCCATTTTCTTTCCCTTTGTCCTACATTGTTTATTTTATGTGTTTGTTTTTTGTCTATTTCTCTTCACTAGGACCTAAGTTCCATGATGGCAGGATTATTTTTCTGGTTCTGTTTAGTGCTTTTTCCTCAGTAGCCTGGACCTTGATGTGTTTTCAATAAATATTATATAATATTATAATATATAATATGCAAGTGACATAACTATTTTTTTCCTAAATATTCTTAGTGCATTAGTTGGGCTTATTACAGAGAATTGTGTTATCTAATAAATTCCCACTTAGAAATGAAAAGGAGTTTTTCCCCTTAAGTTAAAATATTGAAGTTCTGGGCAAAATAATTTTTTTTTTTTAACTATGCTCCACGCCCAGTGTGGAGCCCAGTGCAGGGCTTGAACTCACGACCCTGAGATCAAGACCTGAACTGAGATCAAGAGTTGGATGCTTAACCAACTGAGCCACCCAGGCACCTCTGGGCCAAAGAATTTTAGGGCATGAAGCTTAAAAAAAAAGTGAAATTTAAAAATCTGTAAATCTTAGGCAACTTGAT